AGTGTCCGTGTACCAATTAGTATATACCTTGGCCTTAAAGTCGTCCATACATGGGTACTTTCGGGCCAAAGCATATTCTATTTGGGCACATGGACCCTTCGGGATTGAAAATTGGTGGGCGGTCTTGAGCTTGCGGTGGGGTCAGAGGGTTGGATTTCAGAAGTTGTCGTGTCGGGGCCTGCGTCTTCAGAAGTTGTTCTAAGCCCCAAACCCTAAACTCCAAGATCATCCGTGCGACGACCCCTAAAGCACACATGCAAGCCCTACAAAAGCCCTCACTTTAGGGGGGTCAGAGGTTTAGGATTTAGGATTTAGGGTTTGGGGTCTAGGGTTAAGGGTCTGGGGTAAACCCTAAACCCTAAACCCTAAACCTAGGGGCCCAAAGACCTGAATCTTGCGCCCTCGTATCCCCAGACGCGCACGTGTCTGAACCCTGAACCCCGGATCCACCGTCCGAGATGCCGCAAACCGAAAGGGTCTTACCTATAGTCTCCATTGTAGTTCCTTTTTTTGGTTTAACCAATTATACATTAAGGGTTTTATAAGGTATCCCCCAAAAGGAACTACAATGGAGACTACAGGTAAGAACCTCTATTAAGGTTTCCGACAACAGGGGACCCTAATATAGTACCCCAAATTGTAGAATCCTTATGATAAGGCCCCAAAATACGGTACCCCTTATCTTCGGAAACACCCATATGCGGGCTTACCCAAACCATGATAGTAATTCCTGGTCTAGAAACCCTCCATCCTACTACAGGGGCTTAGGTCCAGTTTCTAGCGATGCCAGGTTGCTGTTCGGCAAGTTCCAGTGGCTCTTGCCGTGCTTAAGGGGGCTCGGGGAGATCCTGTCGCTGGTAGCAACTGGCAATTAATTACCCTAAGACTCTTATTGCTCTTTTGGGCTTTCTAGGGGAAGGTTTGGGCTTTTGGGGCTAAGGTTTGGGCTTTCACTATGGGGGTCCATGAGCCTATGGGTAATGTTCCAAAACGGTCCATGTACCCACATAGTAACTCTCCCTTTCTAGGTATTTTCGGGCCTGCAGGGTAAATACTAATTGTATATGGGCACTTTTACCCGTAAAGGTTGTTTTCAAAGGTTTCGCTGGGTTGCCCAAGGTCCCCTATGGAGGTGCTTGTCGTTCAAGATTCAAGTTACCATTATAGGAGCCTTATATAGAAGGTCTATATACCTTATAGAAGCCCTATATACCCTAAACTCCTCACCTGTAGTTTCCTTTAATCAAGCTTCCAAACCTTCGGGTGCACCCTGGAGTCGACACTGTCAGTGGTTTCGGGTTTAAGGGTTTTGGGTTTAGGGTCTTGGGCCATGGGTTTAGGGTTTAGGGTTTGTCTGAGAAAAGCGCCCAATGCCACTAGACAATGCACTCTCTTGTTTCTGACTCGAGGTTCGCCCCTGAATTTGCGTGCTGTTGTCAGATGCGAGGTACTGCATTCCACAATTGGCGGCCGTCGTTTGGGTGTCATTCGGTTCAGGTTTCAATCAGTGTTGAACACGGTCAATACCTGCACTACTCCTGTGGGTTCCTTAGACATAGTATAACCAAAGCTCTACTCGAATTATCAAGGCCCCTGCCTTAGCTAGAAGGGTGAACAAATAAGCGAGGTTTCCTCAACACAACTCCATGTAATATAGCTAGAAGTTCTCATAACTAGTATATAGTCCCTAAGAAAATTGTAGTTATCAAGGCCCAAACCGAGAATTTGGGCCTGAAATGCCGAAAAGGACGCAGCATATTCGTCATAGTTATGCCAGCAATCATCGGCATTCCGACGTCTCGATTGTTCCACCTGTAGCTTTCGCCATGCCGGGTCACTTGGAGGCTTAGGCGGGCATTTCTTATCTAAATAAACCCTTAACTTCGGGTTTAGGATACGCAACTAGGCTTTGAGGGTTTAGCGTTCGGTGAGCTTAGGGCTTAGTTTACGGTCGGCCGCGCGCCATTGCACCAGAAACCCTACATCTCTGCAGCTGGGCTTTCATGGCAGGTCGTTCCAGACGCCGCGACGCACTTGATCATTTCTGCCTCGGGGCATCTCGTCTTTCACGATGGAGTAGGGAGCAGGTGTTACGAACCCTCAACCCGCAATCCTTAATCCCAAAACCCAAAAGCCCAAAATCCCGAAACCCTAGACCCGAAACGCTGCACCCTTTAGAACCCCTGCATTTTTCGTGGAAGAGTCTGGTATTCGCGGTTTGGGCTCCATCCGCTGACGTGACGTAACACACACACACACATAGCTTTGTGCTTGCTGCCTCAATTCGGAATACATGGTGAGTCCCCAAACCCCAAGAATCCCAACAAGCAAGCTGGAGCCTAAAGCCCATATGCAGGGATCCGAGTTGCCCGATAAGCCCCAAGTCTCAAGGCCTTTGAATTCTGGCCCCGAAATCCCAATCCTTGAACCCTAAACCATGACTGAACCCTAAACCTTGAACCCTGAACCCCAAATCAAGCCCCTTGTCGTCCATCCTCAGCCCCTGAAACTCTCAAGCTAACGTGCCAGCCGAATATCGCTCCCATAGAGTCCCTCATATAATGATAGCCTATCATTATACGAGGGACTCTACGGCTCTACGGGTATGAACTATTGCAGAATATACCCAGAAATCGTTTTCTAATTTATGATGGTCCCTAAATTCAGCCTTTCATGTCTTGTTTGCTTTTAGATTCCCACCACAAGTAACTCAGAAGGTAAATCCCTTTTGGGGCTTGGGGTTTCAGCCATTCAATTTGCTGTCTTTACGACATGTCGGGTTTAGGGTTTAGGGTTTCCGGCTTAGGGGGACTGCTTGGACGTTTATTTCATGTTGAGGCCAGGAATTCCTTGGTTAACCTGTTCCTGTTTCTCGTTTCGTGGCACTAAAGTCCTGTACGGCGTAGCGCAGTTGCACCTAATCGAGTGAGACTACAAGCACAGCCATAAGGGTGGTTCACCGAGGAATGATCTTCTCCGGCTGCTGAACGAGGCCTGGAATTCAGAGCAGGATCGGTTTGATGCTTTACAGAAGGAGTCCAAAGCGCACTTATTCATCAGGTACCCATAGGCCCCATAGTAGTTCCTTTTTGGGATTACCTGATAGGATTCGAAATATGCACCCCAAAAAGGAACTACTATGGGACCTATGGGTAGATGGGTTCCGGATAGTTTTTTAAGTTTAGTAGCCGCAGGCTAGCAATGCAAGGTGCTTGGGTGAAGCAAAAGTAGCAACCCCCAAAGCTAAACCAAAGCCCTAAAGCCCTAAAGCCAAGCCCTGATACTCGAGCACCCTACGAGCCCTAAGCCCCTACTTAACCCGAAACCATTGGAACCCTGAAGCCCAAAGCCTTAAACACCGGACCGCAGATGTCTTCGTCGGAGTTTGCGGTGAGCTCCATGTACAAAGCTGTGACCGCCGGCCTTGAGGAGGCCGCGACGTGGAAATTTGATGGGGAGTTTGGGGTTCTCTGGGTTTAGGGTTTAGGGTTTAGGGTTTAGGGGTTTAGGGCTTTTGGGTCAACATTGTTTTATGGATTGTTGCAAGGAGTTGTGGAGTTGTACCAAGCGTATAGTGATTTGTTACATGACTTGTTTGTGTCTGTTGATACGAGTTTGAAAGGGCTTTGCAAGGTCTTACGGGTTTTGCGAACTTGCCCTTGCTCTCGTTGAGCTTTACAGGGTTTCATGAGTTTCTGTAAGGGTTCTAAAGGCTTCGCGTGGTGTTTAGGATCATGTGTCCGTCGAGGGTTGGGGATTGAAGGGTTTAGGAGTTTGGGGCTTAGTGTTTAGGGGGCCCGCGCGGAGTTGCCGGCTCCAGCTTGCGAGTTCTTTCCACAGCTTTGTTGAGGGTTTCAGCTTGGTTCTTGGAGCTTATGGGGTTATAGGGAAGGGCTGCTATGCGGGTTACTCTCAGGGCTACCATAAATCCTAAACCGCAAACCCGGAATCCCAAACCCCAGACCCTTCACTTGTAGGGCCTTTTTGTCTACCTACTCTATTTTTGGGGGGGGGGTCCTGATTATCAGTACAGTATACTGGGCCCCTAAACCTTGAACCTTAAACCCCAAAACCCTAAACCCGAAACCCCAAAACCCTTAACCCTAAACCCAAAACCCGAAACCCTAAACCCCTACACCCTAAACCCTAAACTGTATCTGTGTATGGATGTATGTATGTATGTATGTATGTATGTATGTATGTATGTATGTATGTATGTATGTGTGTATGTATGTTTGTTTGTTTATTTGTTTGTGTGTTTATTTATTTGATTGTTTGTTTGTATACATACTGTTAACAAGACCTCTGTCAGATCTTTAGTTGCAGTTAGCAGCTCTTGGCAGCTGTAAGCCGGATGTTCCATGCAAAGGTTTAGCATCGAGGTATAAATTAGGCTCCGTAAGCCTGCAACCCTTGATGACGCTTATTTCATTTTGCGAGGAGCAGTTAAGAGTTCAAGGATCCGGGCGTTTGCCTCATGTTGGTGCATCTCCATGCGCTGTCGGAATCTGATCTTTCCCTTACTGAATTCTGTGTCTTTTCCACCGCACGCCCAGTGTTTTCAGAATTTAAGCTCCCCCGACCCCCTCCCCGCCAATACTACGCCCTACAGGCACGCTATATACCCTGGCTATAGATACGCTGGACCTTATGCTTCCTGTGGTTGTAGAGTAGGAGACTGGTGGGTTGTAGCACTCTTCGGGTTTAGGCTCATGGATCAGGCTTGCTGGTTAGATCTAGACTGCGCGAAGGCCTTTAACCGCTCAAGTCGATGTTGTTCTCAATGCAGCTGCATTCATGTGTATGTCATACTTGCAGATGAACCATTGTCTGCAGGCCTTGGCGGATGTTGCGCTGTTGTTTGTCAAGATATGACTCTTTGTACTTCCTTGATGATAGGATCACCCAATTCGACAGACATGTCATACCGCTTTCAGAGCTTATAGGACAAGAGGTCACATCCTCCTCGAGACTATACATCGCATCCTTTCGCGAAGGCCATGACTATTCTGGTTGATGTGCACTTGGTCAGCGGCAGGGGCGTGACTTTGGCCACTGAGGCAGATGATAGTGTCCTCGCGCTGAAGAAGCGTGCCCAGTCGGCTTTTGAAGTTGCCGGAGGAAGGTTGTTGAACTGTTCCGGTGGAGTTCTGAATGGAACAGCCAGCGTGGAACAGGCAGGATTGCAAACCGGTGATGCCCTGACCCTCCTGGTCAAATTGCATCAGGTCATAGCCTCAAAGCGGCGAAAGTTTTGTGTTGGGGCTGCCTTTGCCGCCATCCGGGACGATGGATGCGTCGTGACGTGGGGCCATGCGGACTTTGGTGGTGACAGCAGGGCCGTTCAAGATCGACTGCACAATGTGCAGCACATCCAATCGGGTTTCCGAGCTTTCGCGGCCATCTTAGACGACGGATCTGTTGTAACATGGGGAGATCCTAGACATGGTGGCGACTGCAGTGCCGTGCAGCACCAGCTCAAAAACGCTCCTAGGCCTGGCAGCAGTACCCTTATGCCGCTGATGCCCTTTTCCCCAAGCAGTGTGGTCCATGGTCTTATTCGCTAGTTCGCGCGGCACAGAGCGCCCCGGGGTTCCACGGCTCCTGCTATGCACGCGCACCCAAATCGTGTCTTTTCACACAGTCCTGCTAGAGACCTCCTCCAGACAAGCACGGGTTGCCAACTTGGATTGTTGAATCACGCTCCCACTATACTCCTTGGTGTAGTTTGGGGAGCCATGGAGAGTGGAAATCGTGGTTCTGTCAAAACTTTCTTCCTCATGCACAGCGGACTTTGGCACAGAAGCGACTTTGCGAAGATCGGAAAAATTGTAGATCCACCACTGTGCTACATGTTTTGGGTTGCGGTTCTCCCGCTACCGTGCGGTGCGTGGGGTGCGCATTTGCCTGCGATTGGTGCTCACGCCACAGTCCCACACATACCTTGGGCTGGGACTCGTACTCTCGAACTGCCCAGTGGTGCTCTTGCTACGCTCCTGGAGTTCTCTTGTCAGCTTAGGGCCCCTAAACCCTAAACCCTAAACTTTGCCCTAAACCCTGCTTAGGGGTGCTCCTGGAATGGTTCTTTGGGTGCACAAGGCTTGGACTTCTGGGTGCATATTTTGTTTGGGGTCTACTGCTGGCATAGTGAAACGAAGAGCGGAACAAAGTAGGGTATACCGGTATACCCCTTGTTCCGAAGGTGTTATTCTTAGAAAGAGCCGAGGTTCGGCAAATCCAAGCCTCTTCCTTGGCCTTCGCGGCCATCTTGGACAACGGATCTGTTGCTAGGTCGTACTTGAGATGTTTGTTTTTGGATCCCTTGAGATCTTTTAAAGATACCTGTTGCGTATTCATAAATGCTCTTGGGGTCCTTAGTCCTTACAGCTGTAAATGAGGTTGTGACCTGGGGCGATGCAGATGGTGGTGACAGCAGTGCTGTGCAAGATCGGCTTGTGAACGTGCAGCACATCCAAGCCACCTACAGAGCATTTGCTGCCATTCTGGACGACCGATCTGTGGTGACTTGGGGAGATGCTGAATATGGTGGTGACAGCAGCTCCGTGTACCACTTCAACAACGTACAGCAGATCCATGCCTCTTACGCAGCCTTTGCTGCCGTCCTAGGTGATGGATGCGTCGTGGCCTGGGGCGATGCCGAGTATGGCGGTGACAGCAGAGCTGTGCAACATCTCCTGAGTGGTGTGCAGCAGATGCAAGCCTCTTTCGGTGCCTTTGCTGCCATCCTGAGCGATGCGTCTGTCGTGACTTGGGGTGATGCGAAGTATGGCGGTGACAGCAGTACCATCCAAGATCGCCTGCGCAACGGGGCTCTTGTTGAGGAGTCAATGGGGAATCACAATATACTTGTAGTACACAGTATGACTACATCTTTCCTTATCGTCGTTATATCTTAACAGGTCAATGAAACTCTAGCCTAGTGTAAATTCATGCAAAGTCTAAGCCCCTTGAACGACCCAGGCAATGTCCAGCACATCGAATCTACCCACACAGCCTTCGCCGCCATCCTGGACGATGGATCTGTTGTTACATGGGGAGATGCTGGCCAAGGTGGCGACAGCAGTGCCGTGCAGCACATGCTTCAGGATGTGAAGAGCATGTCTGCGACTTCAGCAGCCTTTGCGGCTGTGCTGGGTGATGGATCTGTCGTGACCTGGGGGGACAGCCAGTCCGGTGGCGACAGCAGCTTCGTGCACAGTCGGCTACAGGATGTCCAAAGCATCCAGGCTGCGAACAATGCCTTTGCTGCCATCCGTGTCGATGGATCTGTTGTTTCATGGGGAGATGCTAGGTTTGGTGGTGACAGCAGTTCCGTGCAACATCAGTTGAGACATGTTCAACAGATCCAGTCGTCTTCGAAAGCCTTTTGTGCCGTTCTCAGCGACGGATCTGTAGTGACCTGGGGCTGTGCTGATTGTGGGGGCGACAGCAGTGCTGTCAGATGTCAGTTTTAATGACTCTAGGAGCGGGTGCTTTCATTCCCATCATTTAAGTATGAACCACTTGGTCGCCTTAACTTTCAGCCAGCACAGCCCCACGTCGCGCAGGACCTTCCTTATCGGGTGCATGTGCGAGCGTTCAGGGCCGTTCCCAAGGTTCCTCCCGGGTGGCATTTTGCTCGCTAAAGCTGCGGGTTTGCCGGACCGGGTTGTGATGCCCAACGTGGCAGCTGCTTTTTGAATCTTTGATGATCTGCGGTTTTTATCGTTCCGACCCTTGCGAAGCACTAGCCTAGCTGAGGCATGTGCAGCGCATTCTGCTGATTGATCCTTACAGTCTATGGTCTCCGATGGATGGTCTCTGATGGACATTTCGCGTGGCCTCGCTCCACAACCTGATAAGATGCATCAGTATACGAAGTTCGGATCCATGCAAGATTTGCTCATCCTAGACCATCCCACAAGGGTAGATGCGCTTCTGGCACATAGCAGGCAGGGCGCAATCACTACCCGATCTATTGTTGCAAGTTGAAGCCCGCGTGCAGGATCTTGTCTCCAACAATATTTAGGCTTTTCCCGTACCTTCCAGGTACCTACTATATAGGGTACTAGAGCCCCTAAGGCCCTATATAGTAGGTACCTGGAGGGTTAGTGTTTAGGCTGCTTCTTTTGGGTTTGAGGTTTGGACTTGAGACTCTTGGGATGAATCTAAGCCGTGTAGAAGCAAACGGGCTTACGAGTTCCATTGTATTTATAGGCTCGAGGCGATGACGAGCAGGACGATCACGCAGTGCGCCTTCGCTGCGCTGTGTAATCTTGCCATAGATAGGTCTACAAATAGGACCTACTTTGGGGTCTAAAGTCCCTAAACTATGGGAATTATGGTATATTCCTCATTAATTATGGGTAATGCAGGATTTATATCCTCAACGGTAGTGCCTACTTTGGGCTTTGGAGCCCCAGGGTTGGATCCTGTCTCGTCTCGTCCTTCTGAGGTGCCGCACGAGCGGATGCGAAAAAAGACGCTGCCCTCCTACCTTTTACCCGGACCCAGCCTGTGAAAGGCAAACCCGACACCTCCACGAAACGCCCGGAGGTCCTACTGCAAATTGATTATAGTATTTTTTCTTACGATCGTAGCTACTTGTACCTACCTGAAGTTGGGTGCAGTTCGTCTGTGAGAGGAGCTACTGGGCATCAGAAAAGCGGTTTAGGTGGTGGGATTTCGGTGCATTTGCGCGCGCAATATGGGTTTTAGAGCTTCAGATCATGTTTTGGAGCTTTGTGTGAGCAGATGTCTGTCTGTGGGGAATATAGAATTCCATAGGTTGAGGTTTGAGCTGAGTGAGGATTATCTCAACTTAAAAAGTTTTGCCATGTTCTACCGTAGGAGTTCATTGCTCTTGGACACTGTCAGCCAGATGTGCCCTTTCAAGGTTGAGCGTCCAGAGTTTAGATCTTCCTGAGAACCTGAGAACCTGTGTAACACTTTTTCGCATTTTAGAGCTACGACAAGCAGCTTAGAGTTCAAGGGCCCGGGGTGTTTGCATCATGTTATGTAGGGCATCCGCATGGGCTGCAACAGACCGAGTAATTACTGAGTCTTCCCTAAACTATGCATCGATGCCACTCGCATCCACTGACTAACTAACTATGCCTGTAGTCTCCATTGTAGTTCCTTTTGTTGGCTAACTAAATTCATATTATTTGTAGGATCCTAACCATACAATTGGTTAACCAAAAGAATAAGAAGGAACTACCATGGAGCCTATAGGTAAACAGACCCGACAAGGCTCCTGAAGCCCCAGAACGTACCCAGCGAAACCCTTATCACGCTCTAGAGACCTAGGTTTTTGTACCTTTACACCCTCAGCGCGAGCTCTAGGCCGTTTTGATAAATAAATATAGACATAAATATGTGTGTGTACATATATATATATATATATCTATATATATATATATATATATATTTGTTTATAGATATAGATATAGATATAGGTATAGGAGCCTCAATTACTACCAATACACTTCCTCAGGGCTCCTTGTTGTCAGTATATTACAATGTACCCCGAAACCCCCATTCTCATCATACAGGCCCCTGGTGTACTCCGTAAGCCCTGAACCTAAACCGACACCTTCTGTCGTTTGTTCCACTCTAGTCAACCCTAGAGTAACAAAAGAAGCCTGAATAATAAACTCGTGATCTCAGTACGTAGGGTACCTTTTTTTCGAACAGCAGTATGAAGTACCACAAAGCCCTGCGGTTCTTACTTGTTTAAAAAACCTTTTATATTCTGCTAGCATGTTGCATTATACTACGTCAATTATACTGTATAAAATCATCTTGTTTTACCATCTTATATTATACACTCTACATTACTGTACATATGACCCATACCAATACTGCCCCGATTGCCGTAGACCGCGCTGCGCTGCTGTCTCTCTAGACCCTATAAACCCTAAACCCTAAACCCCTAAACCCCCAAACTCCTAAACCCTCAACACCCAAACCCCTAAACCCTAAACCCAACGCCCCTAAACCCTAAACCGCTTCTCAGGATGTGGCTCTTCCCACTTGGTGATAGGATCCCCCAGCTCTGTCAGTCGCAATAGAGGAGCTTCGGAGCCAGGGCACAAGTCGCACTTCTATATAGTATAGATATTGGTATCTTAGCGAATATTAGTGTAGTATAGTATATATGAGTAGGTTAGATTACAAGTCGCATCCTTTCGCAGGGGCCATGACTTTTGTCCTTGATGTGCACTTGGTCAGCGGCCGGGGCGTGACTTTGGCCACAGAGGCAGATGATAGTGTCTTCGCACTGAAGAAGCGTGCCCAGTCGGCTCTGGGGGTGGGCGGAGGAAGGTTGTTGAACCGTTCCGGTGGCTTGGAGTACCATACTTTAATACTTTTTTGGGGGACCTGTTCCTGAAAGGAACCGTTATGAAATAAGAGTCTATACTTTTTTCTCCCTGCTTACTTCAAAGCCCAGGTGGTCTTCTGAATGGGACGACCACGGTGGAACAGACAGGGCTCCAACACGGCGATGTCCTAACCTTCCTGGTCAAACTGCATCAGGTCACAGCCTCAAAGCAAAGATGGTTTTGCGCTGGGGCTGCCTTTGCCGCCATCCGGGACGATGGATGCGTCGTGACGTGGGGGCACGCGGACTTCGGTGGTGACAGCAGAGCCGTTCAAGATCGACTGCACAATGTGCAGCACATCCAATCGGGTTTCCGAGCTTTCGCGGCCATCTTAGACGACGGATCTGTTGTAACATGGGGAGATCCTAGACATGGTGGCGACTGCTGTGCTGTGCAACACCAGCTCAAAAACGCTCCTAGGCCTGGCAGCAGTACCCTTATGCCGCTGATGCCCTTTTCCCCAAGCAGTGTGGTCCATGGGCGCGTTCGCTAGTTCGCGCGGCACAGAGCGCCCCGGGGTTCCACGGCTCCTGCTACGCACGCGCACATGTTGAGCTTCAATCGCGTCTTTCCACAGTCCTCCTCGTGTGGTTTTTCCGAAACCCTAAACCCTAAACCCGAAACCCCTAAACCCTATAAACCCTAAACCCTTGTTTTTTGGGTTGGTTTTGGCGTGGGAATCGGGCTCTCTCCCCCCTTCCCGATGCAAGGCGGACTTCACACCAGAAGCGACTTGTTGCTTCACGCCGCGGCCTTCGTCTCATACTAAGAATAACAATAACAACAATAGCTATATATATTAGCTTATTATTATGTCAACAATAAGAACAACATAGCAACAATGATGATAATGATAGTGACTGGTAATCCTACAGCCCGACCTGTCGCAAACTATTTGCCTGCTCGGTGCTCATTGAGTTACTAAGACTAGGGGGAAACTCGAAATTCTAATTGCGCCCGGCGCTGTGCTGCGTGTTTGGGGGTGTGCATGGTCTTTGTGCTGCCGTCCTGTGCGTGTCCCCCCCGAAGCGCGGTGCACATTCTGCCTGCGACCATTGTTTACGTCACAGTCCAGTACATACTTTGGGCTGGGACTCCTACTCTCAGTTTGCCCATCGTGCTCTCCGTAACCCTAAACCCCTACAAACCCTAAACCCTAAACCCATAGAACCTAAACCCCTAAACCCTAAACCCCTAAACCCCCCTAAACCCCCCTAAACCCCTAAACCCTAAACCCCTTAACCCTAAACCCCCAAACCC